TGGCGATCGGTTGGGATCCCCCCTGCCTCCCATCATCCCCTGACAAGAGTCTTTGCTTTGGGTAGCTTTTTTCATTGGTTGGAAAATGTCTAATCGCATTTGAATTGTATTTGTATTCGCTACTGCTATTGTTTACATTTTGCTTCGATTCCAATAACAACTGCCAAACGGCCGCAAAAAGATCAGAGCCAAGAATGCTGGGGAGGTTTCTGAACTTTTTTTAGCTTAAAATAAAGTTCATTGACTCCGGTGTGTTGTAATTTGTTTCAGAAAAACAACTAAAAAAAATTTGTGGCATGAAAAGCATATGCGGATTTTGTTTGAAAAAAATTTCGACAGATTATAGGGGGTAGAGCCGTAAGAGAGAACGGATACACTCAATGGTTACTATTTTCGTAAGTGACTCATGCTATTTTTTATATCTGATTCCAAGAGTTAAACCATTGTGTGTCTTTATTTATTTATGGATAATGAATAAAATTATGAAATGCTTTCATAAAAAAAATCCTATTCCTAACCATATCTAGGATTATTTTCTAAAGTAAAATTTAGTCATTTATAACTTAGTATAACATTGAGGCCTTCAGGTATATTTCAGTACCCTGAAAATTTCATTTTTTATAGATTAAAATGAAATTATGATTTTTTTTCATAACAATTCATATTCCTATTAATTTAGGAATTTTTTCCTAAAGTAAACTTCAGTCATTTATAATTTAGAAAACGGATTTTTTTGTTGAAAATATGACTCTAATAGTTTTCAGATAGATTTTAAGATATTTTTCCTTAAATTAGAATCAGTTTTCGTAAATTTAGGAAGTTTTTCTTAATAGCTTTTTTAATGAAAAAATCTATTTTTAATCGTATTAATATTTTTCTCCATATGTAAATATCAGTCTTTTTAAATAAAAAAACCCCGAGAAATGTGTTATACATTGTATTAAGGCATTTTAGGTATTATTTCTTAAAATTAAGAATAATTTCATAAAATTTAATTCTTTGTATGATATATGCAATACAGTTAACTAAGTTATAATTAATTAATTATATTTATTAAAAAATCTGTTACTGGTAATTTATAAGTTTGTTCCTATATTAAAAGAGATCTCTCAGCAAATTATGAATTGTTTTCCTAAAATGAAAATCAGTCCTTTGTAATTTAGTAAGTGTCTAACATTGGTTAAGAAAGACCTGAATGGACGTAGCGTTAGAAGTATCCTCAGTTTATTGAGTATTTTTAAGCAAACAATCAATTCCTAGAATATTTTAGGAATTTTGTTCCTATAGTGAAATTGACTTATCTGCCAAAATATGAATTTATGATTTTATGAATTTATTTATTTTTTGTCATTAAAACTCTGGTTTCACTTTTAAAAAATAATTATTTTAGAGAAACAAAATCAGTACATAGTAATTGCAGAATTTTTTCCTATATTGCAAATGACTCCTCTGCAAATTATGAATTTGTTCATAAATTGACAAATCAGTTCTTGGCAATTAAGAAATTGTTTTGCATTCGTCCAATAAAAACTGAAAAGTCTAGAGATTTGTAGAAAACCTTCTATAATTTTTCGAAAAAAATATTCTTCGTATTGTAAAAAATTCCTAATATGCTCAGAACTGATTGTATGTTTAAGAAACATTTTCCTAAATTATTGAAACAATGTTTTTTCTTATCAGAAAACATTCGTATAACCTCCGCAGGATGTAAATTTGAAAATAGAAGATCTCCGCTGGACTTTTAATGGAATGTCATACATTTTCTGACAATTAATTTCAAAACGGAGATCTAAGATACTTTTTATGGAAAAGAGTAGTATACCGAAAGTTTCTATGTGGAAAATATACCCTCGTTTGCCTACTTTTGGAAATGAATACGATGTACAGGACTTTTATAGGTGACATGGTGGAATATAAAGCCTTTGCTGGATATAAATTGAAAAACGTAGAACTCATACTGTCTTTTATGGAAAAGGGAAGGATTCTGAAGATTTCTATGTGGAAAATATATCTTCGTAGGAATTCTTTTGGAAATGGAAGTGATCTACAGGTATTCTATAGATCACATGGGGATAAAATCCTTCCGAAATTCTTTTATAGTTATCAAGAGACTTCTGACGTTCTTCGGTTTGAAATAAAACACTTCAGAACCACCTCAATTTGAATAGAAAACCTGTAAAAGTTGTGTTTGGAGAAAAAGAAACTTGGAGGCCTTCTAAGACCTCTGACATTCTTCTGTGTGAAATGCAAAACCTGCAAACATTTTCTATGGGGAATAAAATACTTTGAACGTTTCTATGGGAAAATAAGAAACGTTTGTGGGTGTTCTATGATGAATAGCTGATGAATAGCTAACCTCCAGAAGTGATCTACAGGACTTCTATAGGTCACAAGGCGAAAGAATCTCTCCGATATTTTTTATGGGTATCAAGACACTTCTGACTTTCCGGATCATGAAATAAAATACTTCAGAAGCTCTTAAATTTGAATATAAAACCTGTGAATGTTGTGTTTGGAGAAAAAGAAACTTTGGAGGCATTCTAAGTAAAATATTTGAAGGTTTCCTGTGGGAAATAAGAAACATCTGAGGGTCTTCTAAGGCGAATAGCTGACCTCTAGAAATCTTCTATGGACGGTAGAACACACCCGAAGATGTTCTATGTGGAATAGAAGACCTCTGAATATCTTCTATGTGTAGTAAAGACTTCGATAGACCTTTTTTGTTTATTCTTCAACTGTAACTTTTCCTCTGAATAAAAAAATAAAATTTCCCCAAATTGTTGGAAAATTTACGGTAGCAAAAATCTATAAAAAATTCTAATGATTCACATCCCGCCAGTATTTTATACCTATGACGATAATAGACACCAACAGTGAGTCCGAGAATCTCTTTGCCAAAAAAGGGCGATGATGCGCGTCGTTAGTGGCGATCATTTTCGTTTTGTCATATTGTTTGAGTATTTTTATAATAATAATTGTATCTCAAAGTGGCATTTCCTTTTCTTTTGCTGTAACAATTGTTTTCATTTCGATTGTGGTGACAAATTTTTTTATAGCTGGCGAATTTGGGGTTTTTGCGTCATACGAATTTGAACAATGTTTGAAATGGCAGATCGCTGCATTTGACAGATTTATATGAAGCATATGATTAATTGGGAATGGGATTTGTTTTTAAGGGATAGATGGCAGCACGTGTATGAAAATTTTTTGTGTTTAATCGTTATATATATCAAGGACAGAAAGGGTTATAGAAAACTAAAGGGTAATACATTTCATTTTTAAATAATGGAAATAAATTATCCTCTACCAATTAGAAACATTTTTCGACACAATATAAATGTTTTCCAAAAGAAATGGGCGTCTACTTTTGAAATTGTCTAAATTTAAATATTTTTGTACACAAAAGATAGTTTGCGCTAAATTCCAATCGTTCCTAAAATTTATGAAATTTCTTCCTAAAAATAATAAACACTCAACATAATATGAATTTATCTAAAAAAATTAGGATTATTTTTATTTGTAAATTTAGGATTATTTTTATGTGTATTGGTTTCCTATTGGAAAAAAATAAGACCATAGTAAAATATATATGAACTTTTTTTCCTATATTGAACATTTAGGAAATTTTCTTAAATTGCACGAAACAAAACGAAAAAATATGGGAATTAAAATTTTCTTTAACAAAAATGATTTTGTTGCTGTTATGATCTCAAAATTCAAAAACTGCAACTAAAAATATATTTAATTGTTAAAAATTGCAGCCAAAATGTATTTATTCTTATCATTTGAGGCGATGGTGTCCTATTTCGATATGCATTTGCAAATGATTGATATTTTGCCAACAAAGAATATAGAATACTTGCAGTTAGCCAAGTCAGTCAGCCAAGTCATTCATTCATGGCTAACAAAAATAAATAAAAATACTACTACGAAAAATTGTATCTGGGTGCCCGTCTGATTACCCACAACAAAAATATATAGACGTCTCTACAGCCAATATGCAAGAAACTGATTATTTTCTGATTATTCGAATTAGAAGAAAATTTAAAAATTTATTTTTGCTTAAGCACGTTCTAAACGCCTGGTCGAAATGTATTATTTATGTTAAACAAATGTACCCAGAGAGCAACAAAATTACATTCGTATTTGCACTGTTTATGATGATTATTTTCGACATGTAAATTTATATTGGCAATAAAAATTTTCGGACCATAAAATGCTGTTTTGTTTTGAAAAATTTACACATACGATTTTTTGCAGAATAGCAGCCAGCCACAAAAATTAATATATTGGCCTAGTCTGGATGCATCATATTTTGCATTTTTTTCAATAATTGGGATGAAGGAGATTTTTTTGCAATAGAAAAAAAATACGGATTTCATAAATTATGAACTTTTTCCTATAGAAGAAACCATAACCATTAAATAAATAAATTTTTTCTATACAGATAAATAGTTGTGAGCAATTTATGAACCTTTTTCCTAGTGAGAAAATCATTCTTCAACATATTAGGAATTTGTTTCTACATTAAAATTCATTCATAGTAATTTAGGAAAATTTTTCCTACACGAAAAATAAAAAATTTGATAATTTAAGAATTTTTACTTAAAAGAAGAAAATATTTCTTAGTATTTTAGGAACCTTTTCCTAATGATTTTCTTGAATATAGAATGTTTTACATTTTTAGGAAAGGTAAGTTCATAGTAATTTAGGAACTTTTTACCTAATGAAAAGTCAGTGATTTATGGCATGAGATTTGTTTGCATTTGTGAAAAATAAGTTCATAGTATTTTAGGAAATCTTTCCTAACAAAAAAGTCCTTTAGCAATAAAATGTTTTTTTATGAAAAAATAGTTTAGTATTTTTTTTCTTAATTAAAAGGGTTGTCGTTAGCAATTTACGGTTTGTTTTATATATCAAGAATAATTTCTAAGTAATTTAGGAAACTTATTCATAAATTACTACAGATTGCTCTCTTCTTTAGGAATTTTTTTCTACACCTTTCACGCAATGGCATTAAAATACCAGCCCCCATGCTAGATACCTTCATTGGTATCTTGACGCTATCCGAATCACTGCCACTTTCGGCACCAGAACCACCACTGCCGCCGCCACCAGCATGATAATATTGATGTTGAGCTTGAGCGTGTTGCCGTTGATTAATTTTACCATTACATTTAATATTGCCATTGCCCTGTTGACGACCCGAATTGGGACGTTTAGCATTACGTTTCTCCTGGACGGGAGGAGGAGTTGATGCTGCTGCTGCCGCCGCTGCTGCTGCAGACATTTTATCCATAGCTTTGTGACCTCCATCGCTTTTAGCGTTTGGTACTTGGACAGCATTTATCAAGTTGTAACCCATATTTTCAGTTTCACTAAAATGCCCATCACCATCTGCACTACCGGCATCATCGCTGCCAACCAGGCTGCCGCCGCTACCACCACCAACACCAGATCCAGTGTCCATGTGATTTTCTTCGAGAGTGGCGGCAAGTATGGCTTGGGCCTTAGCGGCTCCCAAGCCGCTGCTGATGCTGCCATTGCGTTGTTGATGCTGCTGAGAATGTTGTTGATGATAGAATGGTTTGCCATAGAAGTTTTGTTGCTGCTGCTGTCCCGTTGAACCACTGTTGTTGTTAATGCCATTTGTGGGACCATTATTGTACTGGGGACCAAATAGTTCCACTCCCACAGAATTGTAAATGCTGCCTTCGCTGTCATTTGTAATTTTGCCTTCTGCAGTTCCACCTGCCACCACTCTTCGTTTATTTTCACTGCCGGATATTTCGTCTTCTTCTGTGCCGTAACTGCCACCCGATCCACTTGAAATGTATAGAATATTTTCGTCTCTTTCGCTGAGATAATTGCGTTCGTTTGTTTTACATCCAACTCCTCCGGCACCAACTCCTGCTGCTGCTCCTGTTGCCGTACGTAATCTTGCCGACGTTGCGTTATGGCTTGCACCTGTGCCACAGATGCCAATTGTTGCAAATTTAGTATCCCGATGTGTGCCATCTAATGAAATATTCGATAGAAACGAGATCGCAGCCAGTCTGCGCCTGTGTCTCGTCTTATTGAACGAACTACTTGCCATTAGGCAGTAACAATTGGGTTTAGAAAATTAAATTTGGGTGATGAGCGGCTCTCGGGGTATATATGTGACGCGACTACTAACGATTCGACGACGACAACAACGACGAAGAAAAATGCGACGAAACGGAAAATAAAATAAACGAAATTAGAGAGATTTTTGGTGCACTTTTTTCAATGAGAGTTTTGCTCAAATTTTAAATGCTGGGAAGAGAGGTTGTTTTATTATTTTTTTAATAGAGGTAATTATATGGATAGGGGCTCTTTTTTCAACTTCTGAGTTCTTTTACTCCTTCTTAAGTTAAATATTTTGCGCTCCCTTTGTTCTTTTTACAATTCTCTTTAATTTTGTTATTAAATTGAATTTTTTGATCTTTTTTGTGTGTCTCTCTCTTTTATTATAATTCGCTTTGGCTCTTTGATTTTGTTGTTGTATTTTTTCAATTTATATCTTTCGGGCTATATCTGTCTCTCTATCTCTTTTTTACAATTCTCTTTTAATCCTCTATATTGTTGTTGTATTTTTTTAAAATTTTTTCCAGCTATTCTCTATTTGCAAGTTGCTAAATTATCAGCCCTCTTTTGTAGTTATAATTCCTTTGTGCACTTTCTTTGATTTTTAATTCTCTCTTTCCTTTGATTTTTTATTTATTTGTTACTTCCCTTTCTTATTTTTTTTCAAATTTGTTTTTAATTTCTCCTTTCTTTTTTGCAATTTAATTGAAGCTCTTTAAATTTGTTCTCTTGTATCTCTCTTTTATTTGTCTCTCCTTCTCTCTTTGATTATTTTTCTCTTGTGATATCCAAATACCGTTTGTTATCACGGTACTGCCTTTGCTAGTAAAAGATCTAATAATAACTGTTGTTATCACTCTCTCTCTCTTTAAAACCTCTCTCTCTTTTTCTCTGTTTACACAGGCTAAATGCTTACGGTATTATTTTGTCTGTTTCGATGTTATCCCTTTGTGAACGATAACTTGTGTTTACCTTTTTGGGATTGTGCTCGCTCTCTCGTTGAATCGCCTCTCTCTCTCTCTTTCTCTGTTTACTTAGGCTCAATGCTTGCTATGTATCACTTGGCCTGTTTAGCTGTTATTGCTTTGGGTGTGATAACTTTTGTTTATTATTTTTTTTTATTGCTCTCCCAGAGACTCTTTCTCTTCGTATTTCTCTTTCTCTCTTTATTAATATCTTAGCTAAAGGCCTGCTTGCCTTGTTTGTGTGTAATAAATGCCTTTCTTTCTTAACTGATAACTGGTGACTGTTGTGCTTGATAAATGTTTATTCAAGTGGCTCTCTTTGACTCTTTGGAGTACTCTCTTGGTGGCTATTCTCTCTTTTGTAATTTCAACAGTATCTCTATGATTTTTAGTGGGGGTTTTGTTGTAATTAATGGCTGGCTATTTTGACAAAATATCACTGGGTGGTTGGTTAGTAGTTAGGCTATGGATGTTGCTCTCTCTCTCTCTCTCTCTCTCTTACTCCTTATTAATCTCTTAAGGTTTTAAAGATCTCTCTTTTACTTTTAACGACTTTTTTGGTTGCTAGTAATGATCTCAGCAGTTTTTTTGCAATGTTTGGATTTGCAGCGATTTTTTTGGTAATGCTATGCTCACCTTCTCTCTTTTTTTTAAGTTCAAAAGATAAACTCTCCTGTAGCTGTCTCTCTCTTTGTGTTTTGGTGATAAATGTTCCTTCGGGAATCCCTTTTGTTCTCCTTAAAAATGTTGTGTGTTTGATTCCCAAATTAGAAATAGAAAAGTTCCTTTCTTTTTGCCGTAAAGGAAACTTTTTTGGTTGGCGACAGGAAAAGAATATCCAAACTTGTGTTGATGGTGAGAATGGCGAGGTGTTCAATTTTAGTGTCTGTCTGTGTCAGATTCAACTAATATCACATAAACTTTTTAGTCTTTAAATTAAAATATAAATTACTACTAAACGAAATACTTAAACGCGACATTTTGGACGATTTTTTCTTGATGATGAGGACAGACACACGAATTTATATATTTTTTATTACACGACGACGACGAAAAATGTCTCTGAACAAATTAATAATTTTTGATTTTTTGGTTCAGAAAAATTATTTTTTCTTGTTGTTGTAGTTAACTAAATTGAATTTGTTCAATGCGTTTGTAGTTGTTGGCCAAGTGATGGTTGGTTGGTGCAACCGTTTGCTTGCAGGTTTCAATTTGATTTGCCGGAAAATTCTGGAAGTAGAGACAATATATAAAGAAGAAAAGAAATATGAGTACATGTACATGAACATTGGATACAGTCAGCCAGTCAGCTGAGAGAACACAAATGCAGAGCAATGGGGGAAACAAAAAAAAGTAGATGGTGGTGAAGATGATGATGGTGGGTTGCATGGGTAAGGAGAGTTCGACATCACCATAATAATCTGTTACTAGTGGCGGCATTTCCCCCCAAACCAAACAAATAAAAGAAGGTGGTCGTGCACAACGAGAAGAAGAAATGCAGAATGGATGCAAAAAAAAAATCAAAATAAAAAATCCAAGTGCAACCTCTCTGAGAACAAAATGCACTAAGAGAGAGAGAAAACTATTTATAGTTGTAGGTAGGAAATGAAAGCTTTGGAGCCGGTGTTATGCTAACCAACAATATGGAAAGCTTGACAAATGGGAGTGTGAGAGCACAGTAATAATTGCAAATATTTATAGTTTTATCAGAAAAGCTTTAAAGCCGGCCTAGGTCCATAGTAACACCCGCAAACTATTAAATTTAATACTCAAGAAGTTAATAGCATACTCCGTGGGTAGGGCATGGTGGGAGGGTATGAGTGTGAACCTCAAAGCTTTTATATTACAAAAAAAGGGTTAAAGCTTTTATGCTATTTTTAAAATGAAGGTGTTATAAAAAATCTATATTATTTCCGCAACAGTTAATCAATAAAAAAACTATTTTAAAGCTTCAAAGGAAGCGTACAGTTTGCACCTGATTGAAAAAATACAGGAAAGGAAACAAATCTGACATTAGGTCTTGCAAATTTTAAGAACAAGTTAATACAAACAAATCGTTAGTCAAACAGGAGACCTGGAGGTCTCACGATTTTTTTCTATAGAAAAAAATTGGCCAAGGGGCCACACAAATTTTTCTCGAAAAAATGGCTCAAGGGGCCTCACGATTTTTTTGTTAATCAATAAAAAAACTATTTTAAAGCTTCAAAGGAAGCGTATAGTTTGCACCTGATTGAAAAAATACAGGAAAGGAAACAAATCTGACATTAGGTCTTGCAAATTTTAAGAACAAGTTAATACAAACAAATCGTTAGTCAAACAGGAGACCTGGAGGTCTCACGATTTTTTTCTATAGAAAAAAATTGGCCAAGGGGCCACACAAATTTTTCTCGAAAAAATGGCTCAAGGGGCCTCACGATTTTTTTGTTATAGAAAAAAATGGCCCAAGGGGCCTCACAAATTTTTTTCTATAGAAAAAAATGGCCCAAGGGGCCTCACAATTTTTTTTCTATAGAAAAAAATGGCCCAAGGGGCCTCACATTTTTTTTCTATAGAAAAAAATGGCCCAAGGGGCCTCACATTTTTTTTCTATAGAAAAAAATGGCCCAAGGGGCCTCACAATTTTTTTTCTATAGAAAAAAATGGCCCAAGGGCCTCACAATTTTTTTTCTATAGAAAAAAATGGCCCAAGGGGCCTCACAATTTTTTTTCTATAGAAAAAAATGGCCCAAGGGCCCCTACAATTTTTTTTCTATAGAAAAAAATGGCCCAAGGGCCCCTACAATTTTTTTTCTATAGAAAAAAATGGCCCAAGGGCCCCTACGAATTTTTTTCTATAGAAAAAAATTGCCCAAGGGCCCCTACGAATTTTTTTATATAGAAAAAAAATGGCCCAAGGGTCCCTACGAATTTTTTTCTATAGAAAAAAAAATGGCCCAAGATGCCTCACGAATTTTTTTCTATAGAAAAAATGGCCCAAGAGGCCTCACATATTTTTCTCTATAGAAAAAAATGGCCCAAGAGGCCTCATGAATTTTTCTCTATAGAAAAAAATGGCCAAAGAAGCCTAACGAATTTTTTTCTATAGAAAAAAATGGCCAAAGTGGCCTAACGAATTGTTTTCCATAGAAAAAAAGACCCAAAGGTCCTTGCGAATTTTTTCTATAGAAAAAAAGGACCCAAAGGGGCTTGCGATTTTTTTTTTTCTATAGAAAAAAATGTCCCAATAGGCCATATGTTTTTTTTTTCTATAGACAAAAATGGTCCAAAGCGCGTCACGAATTGTTTTCTATAGAAAATAATGGCCTAAGGGGCCTCACGAATTTGTTTCTATAGAAAAAAATGGCCAAAGGGGCCTAACGAATTTTTTTCTATAGAAAAAAATGGCCAAAGGGGCCTAACAAATTTTATTCTATAGAAAAAAATGGCCAAATGGGCCTAACGAATTTTATTCTATAGAAAAAAAGGACCCAAAGGGTCTTGCGATTTTTTTCCCATTGGAAAAAAAGGAAAGGGACTTTCGAATTTTTTCTATAGAAAAAAATGGCCCAATAGGCCATAAGAATTTTTTTCTATCGGAAAAAATGGCCCAAGAGGCCTAACAATTTTTTTCTATAGAAAAAAATGACCCAAGGTGCCTTACGATTGTTTTCTATAGAAAAGAATGACTCAAGGGGTCTCTCCCAAAGGTTCTTTCGAATTTTTTTCTATAGAAAAAATGACCCAAGGGCCCTTACGATTTTTTTCTATTTTAATTTCGCGAGGACCTTTTTTCTATAGAAACCCCAGAGCATAGTTTTTTTATAGAAAAAAATTCGTCGGGGCCCTGAGGATTGTTTTTTCTTTAGAAAATATTCGTCAGGGCCCTGAGGATATTTTTTTTCTGTAGAAAAAAATTGTCAGCCTGAGGAAAAAATCGTCACCCTGAGGATTGTTTTTTTCTGTAGAAAATATTCGTCAGGGCCCGAGGATAGTTTTTTTTCTATAGAAAAAAATCGTCCCCGGAGGATAGTCTTTTCTATAGTAAAAATTCGTCAG